CAGCGTGACCGTGACCGAGCAGCTCATGGTCAAACCACTACTAACTACACTTAATCAAACCCCGGCCAGCTCCCGCCACCACTTTGCAAAGATCATGACCAATGGGAGGGTCTGGGGTGGCAGGGGCATATGGTGGAATCTGCCCACAGAGGGTCCCCACCCAGCTCAGAGTCAGCACAGCCCTCACCGAGCACCCTCTGGGCACAGGCTCTGTTCTAGGAGACACGGGGTGATGAGACGGAGAGACAGACAGATGGAAACGCTGCCCTGGGGAAGCTCCTGGCTGGAGGGGAAGGAGCTCGCCTGCAGTGCAAGTGAGCAGAGGGGCTGAGGGCCGCGGGGTGAGAAGCGGGCGGCGGCGGGCAGCGGGGCCCTGGCAGAGCTCTGGCCCCGGTGAGAGGGTGCCCGGGCCCTGGAAAGACGCATTCCTGCTCCGCTGGGCATTTAGGAAGCATGGCGGCTCCGGGGGCGGTTCTACAAGCCGGCCAAGTCCCTGTCCTCCTGGAGGTCATGTTTGCATGAGAGGAGACAGTCATACCTAAGTCATTTCTGATGACAAGAAGAGCCTAGAAGAAAATAGACCAGGATGCAGGTCCCAAATGTGACCCAGAGAAGTGACTGTAATGGAGGGAGGAGGTGACAGCGAAGCCTAGAATGGTAAGGTCCTGTCCCCTCTCCCGCCCACACCGGCCCCTGTTGCCTTTTGTGACCAGGCTATACCTGTCGTTGCCACCAAGGTTCCCTGGCCGCTGAGGACAACGCCTTCTGTCTCTCAGTCTGAGACGTTCAGAGATATTAGAACGCCCTCCCAGGGACTCCGAACCAGGGTGCACAGCGATGGAGGAGGGGGAACGAGTGAGGCAGCCCCCCATCCCCTCCAGGAAGGAGCTAGTAGAACCCAGGCATCAGGCTGCCCAGTCCAGCAGTGGTGACAAGGGCCCCTTTGTGCCCCCCTCCCCCGGGGGACAGGGAGGAGCTGGGCCCTGGAGGCAGGCGGCCCCTGGCACCCGGGGGGAGGGGAGGGGCCGGCAAGTGGGGGCCTAGACCCTGGGAGGCCAGGGGACTGTGAGCAGGGGTGAGGAGCAGAGGGTGCAGACACAGGAGCATCCTGGTGAGTATGCAGCAGCCGAGAGGGGCCGGGGACAGGGTGGGAGCAGAGGGCCAGGGTGAGAAGGTAGAGCAGGGGCACCCGAAGTATAGTACGTGCAAGATGAGGATGGTCGCTGTGAACCGCCACTCATTTAGGATGGGGAGGGTGTTCCTTAGGACTTTGGAATGAGCGGGGACCATGGCAGGACAGTGACAGGGCTTTGGGAAGGAACTGCAGAGAGAGAGAACTAAGGGCCTCCTCGGCACCCCTCCTGGTGGAGGTTCTGCAGGAACGTGCCCTGGGGCTTCCAAGTTTGGGGCAG